GTTCGAAGAGGCTCTCTGAATCGGAGACCTTAGCATTTAAACGCTCAGTCAGGGACAAGGGGCGACGTGTAAGCGTGAAAGTTCCCCAGCGCCAGTCAGCACGGAGGAAAAAGGAAAGGCCTCCCACGGCCATACAAGGCCTTAGAACTCGGATCTGGAACAAAAACGCAGACCTAAGATACGATGACCTAAGAGCGATGGCCTCCAACCTAAGAGCGATGGCCTCCAAGCTACTAGCGATGGCCTTTGACCGACTCCAACCTAGCATTTGGGGTCGCCTTTCCAAACAGATTCGAACGCATGTTTTGGGCAGGGATTGAAAACTTGTAGGACAGCTCGCGGAACTGATGCGCTTTGAGTGAAGGTCTGAATCCGCTCTTGGCAAGCATCAACGTTGGTGTCTCAGACAGCCATAAGCATTGGTGAGTAGAACCGATACTCAGCTTGTGGAAAGAATAGAGAACGCGGTGAATAATTGTTGATTGATTCATCATTCTTCCCACATCCCTCCTAAAGGTGTGCGTGTAGACGTGTTGTTTTGCTGAAGCATCAATCAAGATAGTTCAGTTCTCACAAACAGTTGGGAAAGGCACTATGTATGTCATGACATTCTGCTTCCGTCTCAATCAACGTGTGGGGTCCAAAACAGACAGGAAGCACCTAAAGCACCACACGTTTCCATTCCGCCTTCAAGCCCAGGCACAGATTGAACCATCGATGGAGTTGCGTTTGGGCGTGCGACCGCAGATGTTGCCTTTAGACATGTTTGTGAGTGGAACCTTCGAACCCCAACATCTACAGGAGGACTTCAAGGGTGCACATAGTGGTGCACATAGGTTCAAAACATGCGCATGCGAAGGGTGTTTTTTCTGAACCTCACACTGCGCAAGTGATTTATTAGCAAGTGTTTGCAGCATCTTCCTGGTTGGAACGGGGAGTTGCAAATTAGTTGATGCATTGAGCCCCGTTCGTAGCGTCCGATGGCTCCTAGGCTCGGTCTTTTCGCCATCGGCCTGAAATTCTTCAGCATTCCCAGATAGCCTTCCCAGACCATGTATGATCATGAAAAAAGTATGGAGAAGTAGATTTAAATGTGTTTCATAAGAGAAGTACATTCGTGGGAAGTGTTTAGTGGGATGCCCATTGATGTCCTGGGTCTGCATGTCCAGGTACCGCAGCTCCTCTCCTTGCGTACCACCACGACCACAACGGATGCTCCTGCCCCAGCTTTACTACGCTCCGCGAAGCAGAGTTCAAGAGCAGCGCTACCGCAGCTGGAACAATGGATCAAGTTGTTTTTTGATCCGAAAAAACTGCGCAGTGTCTCTTGAGCTCATGTTTTGGCATCGTAAACATATAACAAATATTCCAGCTCTGTAGAACAGCAGAGCCTAAAGGACACAACTTGCAGAGGCCCCCCTTGCACAGAGGAAAAGGGCGGCATATGGCGGCACTCCGCTGCTGGCGCATCACTTCAAGCTCTGGTAAACTTGTGCTTATTGTTACTACTAGTAAGGCACTTGTTACTAGTAGCGATGCACTTGTT